ATATATTTCCGCATACCTGGTGTCGTGACTTGACAGGTTGCGACTAGACTCAATGATCTCCTTGGAGATTTAGGACCAACAGTTTGTCGAGCTTTCGCTGGATTATGATATCTGGGTTTGCGTGGCTGACAAAATCTATTTTTATGACCGATGATTTTGCACTTGCTGCAACGATGATTTTTGTATGGACAAGACTTTGCAAAGTGCCACGCGCCACAATGCCAGCATGGTGATGGTGGGGTCTTCTTTGCAGTATTTTGTGAAGTTGGACGAGTATCTGTAGATTTCCGCGGAACATTCGGAGAAGATGGGTCACGACTGGGTGATGAGAGATTTTTGCTCTTTCGTAATGCATGAATATCAGAGCTTCTCGAAAGTGTTGATTCGACCAGGTGTGTGTCTTTCTGCAAATTAATCAGCCGTTGATATTCATCAGCTATGTCATGTAATGTTAACTTAGGATTTTGTTCTAGCTGATTGAGCAGTCGAGTTCGGATATCTGTGAAACGAGGAGATTGAAGACTGCATATGAGAATCAAGGCTTTGAATTGATCATCTGTTAAGGACCTGAGTCGAAATCTCTCACATTCTCGGTTGACTGTGCCAACGTGAGTAAGAAAATCATCATTTTCATTCATTGTCAGCTTGAGGCAACGATAACGTATGCTGAATAATGAGGAGTGGTCTCCAAAATGTTCACGCAGCAGCTTTATTGTATCATCGAAACACTTGTCACGTGGTTTCTGGGGTAAAATTAGGTTGCAGTACCTTTCATTAACCATTTCTTTCGACACTGCAGCAATAATCACTTTGATGAAGCTAGAATTCAAGGATTTTGATCATCATGAGTTGGTGCAACCTTATCCAAAGGTGTCGGCCGCTCACTCGAAGTGTCAATTAATACTAATCATGGAGCTTCGCAATCTCAGAGACAGTGATACACTGCTTAGTGTCACTTCCGTAATGATGAAAGACTACTCGAAAGATGAATTACATAAGGAAAGGTGGTCTCAGACAACGCAAAAAGAGCTTTAGCGAAACTTCTCGTAAATTTAAGCAATTAATGAAATCTCAGTGTCCATCATATACACGTGAGTGACAATGCTTTTTAGCGGCAAATAATACCCCCATATTATTGGTCAACAGCACCCTTCATTCCGTATTAGATGCGGACTCTCACTACATAAGCCGACTTGCGAAGCTGAGGGCAACTGATCAAGAGTTCATGTCATTTACCACGCCGTTGTGTTGCGTCCAGTCGTTCGGGTACGAGTACCAGATACTTAAGCACTCAACGTTTCTGACACCGAAATACATCTCTAATTTTAGAAGATCAGTTTGTTTCCTTGATTTGTCTCTGGTCCCAGTAGAACAAGGACATTGGGGGTTACAGAATGAATAGTTGGGTTAGCATACAGCATCTCTTGCGCAATAATTGACTTCCTTCATCTCCAAAAAGGATACAAATAGCTTACAAACACCAGTCTGTGATAGTAACTGGAAAAAAACACATAAGCTCCATCCCAGAACAACCCATGTAGGTTATATTTTAGACATAGAATGGAAGAAGACATTGGCGTTATATACTGGTCGAGAATCTAATAGTCCTGACGCAAGAAAGACGGAAATCAGAAGACCACTAGGTTTGCGATGATACTTCTGTTTTCCAAACACAAGGAGAATCAATGTCACACAAGAGTGTGAGAGCAAAATATATGAATGTCCGAACAAGTGTGAACACAAGTGTGTAAGCGAATATTCAAAATGAACAAATCAGTAGACAGTCTTAACATAATTGGCTAATTATAATGGAATATCGATCCATATATACATAGCAAAATATATCACTGTCAAACAAACACACATATTATGTGGATACATATCAGTCTGCCCTTCATATTGTATGTTTCTTTGTCTTCTTTTCATGCAGCTCATATTTTGCCGCAATGCTGGTTCATTTCTCTCTTTGACGTCAAAACTATCTATCAGCTATTTGATATTTTTGTTCAGATACTGATAAATCTTGTCAGTAGCACACGTCGCAGTTATATAATAGATGATTCTACATTGTAAGGTAGAAATATAGCTCTTGACTCATCGGAATAGACCAGTGAGTGGTTATAGGCCACATATGACATGGCTTTGCCTACCAGGTGATGCTAGTAGCGTACACACGATAGGTGTAGCTCATCGCCAATTGGGTTGGCATGCAATCGTTTCAACTGGACAACATAAAGCGCTTATATTAAAATTGTCCCTAAGTTGTATTTGGTAACTAATCTAAGTACGACTACTAATAATAATAAATTACTAGATTAATCGGATTCACGCTAGCAACTGGCTCTATACAGAAATTTACTTGGAGTTCTAGTAATCAGCGGAGTCCACCAGTTCAAGTATGGGAAGAGTTACTCACCGTTGATATTGGCTGACTGTAGCGCTATGTATATAAATATCGCAGATTTGCAGATGTTGGAATTCATGCACCATTGGATCAAGTCCCAGTGGCTGAATAGTCTACAAGCTCGCCCACCTTCTAACCTGAAAGTCTTGGGTTTGATCCCTGAAAAGACTCAAACTAGGACGAAACAACTGGTTTTCCAATGGCTCTCTAACTGGCGTCAGCTCGTGATCAAACCTGTAACCGGTCGAAACCCTGGAAACCATCAACACATTAAAAAAAATTATTTATGTTTTATTTTGGGATCAGAATGATCGATTTACCAGCCGAATACTCTACATAAGTAGTCAGATAAATATTATGAGCGATATTAAACTACTGATGGTCAGTCAAGTAAACGGACTCACTGAGAAGCATAAAGCAGCTGTTCAGTGTACGCATAATATAGTACAGCATTTATAGCTGAAAAACTGAATTGAGTATTGACAGTGAATAAATAACGTTCAATATCTAGAGAAGACATTATCTCCTTGAATGCTTTACATTGAACCATAACTCTAGTCTCATTTGGATGAATATCGATACTGATTAGAGAAAGTGGGAATTATTTCAGCAACATTTTAAAGAGTAGTATCCTATTTGATGTTCTTACGGACTCTTTTTCAGCTCAAATTCATCTTTTTAACGCAGTTGGCCGGTTAAAGATCATTGGTGCGTCTATACTTCCGGGGCTCTTTAGCTTGACTTCATCATAATATGCAATCACAGTCTAGCATTACTATTTCAGTTTGACGATCTTTCCTGCTTTGCAGGTCAATCATCGTCACCGAGCCGGTAGTCTGGGTCGGATTCTAATTAGCGCACTTCCATTAAAGCAGTATAACAGCCAGGTCCTTCCACTCCTACTAACGTAAAAGGCCCCAAAGTCCTAGGTTATCTACTTTAACCGCCTAAGTGGGGACGGCATCAAGTGCCTGACCTGGGTTATCGTCCACTTAGGCCAACCGGATCTCACTACGCACCATTCTCCGTTGTCCACCACCTCAACCCTCATCTCCCGTAGACACGAATGATGGCACCCAGAGCATTTTAGGTCTTTACTGCCTGCGTATAGTTTAACTTCATCATAATATGCAATCACAGCCTAGCATTACTACTTTATGGTCTTATTTGCCACACACCAAATTTACACATCAGGTAGTTACAAGGAGGAGATAAAAAGAAAAAAGTGAAATAAAATCATCAAAATCTATAAACCTTCATAAGACAAGAAGATGAAGCTGAAAAAACATGGATTTTGAAAATATCTTTGCCAGTGCAGTGACTTTGACGCTGTATCATGCATCTGTCGATTTCATTTGTCTGATAAACCTCAACCATAAGTTGCTAGAATCCAATGGCGAATGATTAAGGGACTCTTCTCGTAACCTGAAGAACGTCTTGGATTCGACCCCCCCAGTGGAATCATGAGCAGGCACCTCTAAAGAAAAGTCCCGTTTTAGGATGAGACGACTACTCAGTATACTTCCTGATGGTCCACAAGGGCTCTGCAACCGATTTCAACTCGTGACCCAGATCGAAATCAACCAATTAGCCTACACTGTTACTAAAACCATCAGTCAATAGCCTGTGAATACCTCTAGTTGTATTTGAAAGTATTCGTACTTCCACTTTTTCAGTTTCACCTTTAAACCTACGTCTATGAAACCTGGCCCCTCCTAGCTGTGGGTGTACACCAACTCTGTGTATTCTAGCATCACTGCCTCCGTAGAATTTTGCTTGTTTCCGATGGCATCGGTAGATATTTGAACACTGCGTCTGTCACCGTTCACATTGAGCGTGATTATCTTGGAACACCAACTTCGGTGGACATCTGCTACAACTTTCATCCCAGACACCCATACCGCTTGCTATTCACTGACCCTTGAACTGGATGGAAAATATGAACAGGTAGTGGTAAGCCCATGGCATGGTACCGTGGGATAAAGGATATCTGTGCCTGGCTAGCATCTTTCGGTATATCATGACCCTTTTGGTGAGATACGAGGGATAATTCGAATCACTGGCTGGAGACGTTATCAGATATAGCCAAGCAGAGTAGTAATTAATTACGAACATGCTGCAGTTTCCTTCTTTCTTGTCTCTTTTTGAAAATAACATGAAGTAATGAACCGTGCTTTGGATGATCCTGATAAGTATGCTTGCTTCCTTTCAAGATAACTTCCCTCATTCTCCTTATATTATTGTTTGATGACTTTTTGTATGGCTTATCTCTTGATGCCCATGATGTATCATATCTGTGGGTTTTTTTTAATGATAGTATTATTATTAATTCCTTCACGTTCCCAGTGGAACATATGGCCTCAAGCTAAAGGCTTGAAGTTTCTGTAGCAGTGGTGATTATTTTTACAGGATGGGGTTGCTAGCCTCATGCCCAACCTTTCCTCTTTACCACCTTTATTTCTGGTTTAGCGAGGTAAAGAAGTGCGCTGGCCGGGAATCGAACCCCGGACCATATGGATGGTCGTCGAGTGTCCTAACCGCTGTGCCACCGACGCACAATAGTAATAATAGTCGATTATTTTTTTTGCCATTGTAGACCATACTTCCAATGGAATAGTCAATTTACAAATTACTCCAAATCCAATTAATCCAGTGAATCAATCAACACACAATCTAACTTTAAATGAACAAACCGGTCTGCTGGCGTCGTCATTACCATCATCATTCCCTACAACACAAACTAGTCAAACAACGCCGTATCCGCCTATTTTGATATTAAATCCATTACAGTCAAACTACTGTCCACAAATAGCATTAACAGCAGCAACAACAACAACGCCAACCTTGTCAAATCCTACCTCAATACAAACATTTCTACCTATTACAACAACAACAGCTACTAGCAGTAGTAGTACCACTGCTAGTACCATATCATTTTCTAATCATACCATTCTACCTAAGTTAGAAGATTCAAATAGTCAGCCTATTACAACATCATATCCTAACAGTATCGTTCCTAATGGTACAGATGAAAATATTGATCCATTAGATAGTCCAGAGTCAATTGATTCATCACAATACCAAATAAAGCATACAAATGAACCATTGAATACCTTTGAAATAGCTTCAACTGTTCGTGATCTACTAATAAAGCATAATATATCTCAACGTCAATTCTCTAAACATGTACTTAAGTTGAGTCAAGGAACTATGAGTGAGTTATTATCCAAGCCTAGACCATGGTATAGGTTAACAGCACGTGGTCGTGATTCATTTCGACGATTACAAGCATGGATATTGGATCCAAATAATATTAGCAGTTTTAAAACATATCAACGGAAACGGACTAGTAAGTCATTTGTATGCATTGGTATTTATTTATGCGTTGTGTTTGTGAGTCTCATGTATTTAAATAGACAATCGCCGTTCATATAAAATGTGAAGTTACATTGGTATTGATCTAGGATTTCAACTATTTGAGCATAAAGCTGAGTTGTGTTCCATGATATGGTGTAAAACGGTGCATACTGGACTTTACTCATATTTCAGCATAGAAAACTGCGCGAAAATATTGAAACACACTATTTAATTGTTATTATTAAAACATAAACTTGGCATATGACGAGCGCCAAGAAATGCGCCACACAAAATCGCATAGTTTATGAAGGGCATTTGATACTGGCCTTGAGCTAAGGTGGTTGTCCTAAAGGACCACCTCTCAGGCTTTTGACTTGTTGTCTGATCCACAAGGCAGAGGGACAGCGTCAGGAGTTGCGTTCCAATGATTGACGCTTGTCAAAAGAGGTGCATACGCCATGTGACCCACTCGGAATCTGGGGGCGAATGTACGCCACAGGTTTGGAATCAGTGTTTTATATTTCTCTTCCCTAGACGTGGATGTCCACCAGTCTGGTTATGGGCGCCAGACATTTGAATTCACCCTTTCACTTTTGTGAGAAAAGCCCGCTCCGCATGAATGCATCGAATAAGACTTACCTGGTGAACACTATGAATGCGTGATCACATGAGAGAATTTCGGGGAAAAGATTGAAGACAACCTACCTTTGACCCCTCCAGATCGTTTATGGAAGTTGGCACGAAATTGAACTATGCTCCATCTATTTTAGCCTAAACGAAAATATGATGCTGTATAAAGAGCTTCATGTGAAGCTTTACTCGTATCTCAACAGGGAAAACTGTGCAAAATTATTGAAAGATATCACGGCATTATTATTTTTGTAAATCCACAGTGATTTGAGGCTTTTTCAGAAGATTAATGCCCTAACAGGCGGCTGGGGTCCTCAGGATATATTACCATATGACCCAAATAATGCAGAAAAAAAACAAAGTTCGACAAAAAGGGAGAACAAACGAAACCTGTGCTATAAGAACAACAATTAAGGTATGGTGTGAACGAGTGTTAGCCACCGCAATCAACCACAGTTCATATTGTCCAATGACCTTAACAATATAACTGTTGTAGCAACTTGGTGGCTGCCAGACAAACAGTCAGGAATACCCATAGATTGGTTTCGACGCTTTTGGTTTGGCTACCTTTATTTTTCTACTGACCTAATGTGGTACGCCGATTTACGCGGTGGATAGTCATGCACAACATATATCTCGAACACCTCAGACAATAGAAGATTTTAACTTCTACCTTATCCAGGTGATTGCTGCACCAATACTATAGAGGCAATGGTATAAAAATGTCTGGGAACGTTTGTAGATTCTCGACCTATAGTAGTGTCTGTATTCCAAAAAAAAGCAGTATAAGTAGAATACAGCGTCCCACTAAAGACGAATTGATCCTTCTTCGTTTTCCAGATAGACGAAAAGTGTAAAAAGAGGCTTTGACCGGTTGACCACAAAGGTGTAAGCGTGGATCTAAACCTTTTTATACTAATGCAACAAATGACTTTTGTTGTATTCATCTATTATACCAATGTTATCACACTCATGTTGTTTATTTCTTCTCATACATCTAGCCACTGTAACTACTCATGCTGAATGTGAAACTTCAAATCTAGTCAAACAGTCATTACCACCAGTGTTGCACTCAGATCCTGTAGAACAGACATCAGTGTATCAATGGGATTTAACTTCATTGAAATTACCATCCCTTTCTTCATCTGTCCATAGTAATAATAATAATACTAATAACAGCAATCTTGAATCGCAGAATACTGCAGCTAATCAATCGCATAGAACAGAATCCACTTATGACTACTTGGAGAATCAAAGATTATCTGATTATCTACCTTTACCAAAACTGCAACTGTCGTCGGGTAAAGAAACAAATTTCACCAGTCGTCAACCCGTTAAATCGTCCGAGTTATCATCATCAGATGAGAAATGTTATCTAAAGAAGTTCTTTTGTATACTATACTGAAAGCAGTCCTCTGTCACTTTTCGAAGTTTTCAAACGTTTTTTAGTGGGATTTTTAACTTTTCGCTTCAACATGTATTAAAAGAATTCATTTAATATCACGACGTCTGATTTCATTGTATATAGCTGTTATGAGTTGTGCATTGAGGCGCGCTATCCTTTACTACTTACCTTGATAGCATTTCATTTAGTTCATCATGATTAAAAACCAATGTTGTTAGTCTCCTGGAAGTGAGAAAATCTTGTAGATTTCAGTATACATCAGAGTCAGTCTGTAGAAACTACAGAATCTAAGTTTCATAGTATCTGGTACCCCTTAGCGGGATATCTAAAACGTCAGAACATGTTGCTTTGATGTGAATCTGTAACACTTTGTGTCATCGTTATGTATATCTTTCGATGAATCCTTAACATAAGAAAAAATGAGGAATATATATGTGTAACGACAGAAGACGAAGGCTAGGCAACAGATTGTTTATTGAGAAAATCAAGAGATATTTATAGATTTTTATGTACATTATTGTCAACGGAGAAGCAACGTATTCTGATTGGTTGTTTTCTTGTTGAAGGTTACTCTGTATTGGTTGTGACCGTTTACCAGAAAGTTAAGCCATATATCTGCGAATCCTATGTGGACACGTTAAGTCCTCTGTGATTGGTTGTTGAGTTCCTCAAGGCCAAGCTTTGTTATTGTTTTTTATGACCCTGACTCGGGACGTAATACTGACGTAAATTGTTGTCTACAATTTTGGCTTGTTCGCAGCCAGCTCTCACCATATATATATATATATATATATATATATATGTACCAGGCTACTTTTATATTTTTTTTACTAGTAATATTTCAAAGATATACAGCTTGAAGAAGGTACTTACTTACTTTACTTTACTTCGGCTATCTCCTACGGGAGGATGAGCCGGCTTCATGAACGTCTCGAATCATCGCTGCCCAGGCGCGGCAATTTGTAAGAGAGTTCATGAAGTTTCATGGGAATTTGGTACGAGTGATGTCCCCAGAATCGCTCGGCCTTTTGTTTGAGAGTGCAGCTCTAGCCTTTACACAGCCAAGTGTGACCTACAAGGCAGTAGGAGTGGAGTAAGGAGTCCACTATCCATTGGCAGCCGGTGACCGGAGTTCGGTTCATACGCCTTTTTGAATGGGGCCAGATATCCAGGACATCCAGCAAGCCCTTTGTCCATACGTCTGCCAGTGAGCTCCAGTGAGCTTCATACGCCAGTCGTTGGAGGTTTGGAATCAGGGTTTAGCCATCTCCCCTAGACCGTCATCCAATGGACAGTCAACCCGGTGGAGAGCGCCGGGTATCCGCTTTCGCCCTCTCACTTTGGTGAGAAACACCTCCGCCACGTGAAGGCAGTGAGTAGGACTTCCTCAGGAGAGGCTATGTAAGACGCCCGGTCATATGGGAGCATTTCAAGAGGTGTGCGGAGGGGTGGCCAACCCGCAGCGCAAGGCACCCACCCCCGACCATCCTGAGGCTTTGAAGAAGGTGAATCGTTACATAATGTAATTAGATGTTAATTGGTAGATGGTGACTAGCAGTGGAATCCAGCATGCACATGCTACATAGTGTTTCTAAAAGTTTTATGAATAGTCGGTTCCCAAATATTCATATATTCTCACAATACAATTTAGAACAACACATGTAGGCGAACAGTACTGTTTTCACTTAGATATCATCAAGCTTTACTCCAACATGCATAATTTTGCAATTAAAATTATTAAATATAAACCAGCCATGGTGATTTGTTATTACTATGATATTATTATATCCTTTAATTCCTAGAGGAACATAGGGCTTCAGCCACACGTCTCCATTGCGTTCGGTTCTCTTCTGGAGTTTTCACCTGGCTCCAAGTCTGCCCACATTCTTTCATCTCCTCTTCACATCGCCTCCTCCAAGTCACCCACACACTGACGACCAACTCACAACTTCCTTTTCGGGTTCCACTCGAGCAATGGCTTGTCTAGTGACGTCACTTGATGGTTTCTTCAGAGTATGGCCAATCCATCTCCGTTTCTTCCTACCTATTTGCGGTACAGTCGGTTCCTGGTTGGTTCGCTCATTGCCAGAGATCCCTATTGCTGATCTTTTCTGGCTGGCTATCTGATCTTGAGTATTGAGCGAAGGCAGCTGCTGATGAAGGTCTGTAGTTTGTTTGAGGTGCTCTTTATGACGCGTTGGCCAAGTCTCTGATCTGTATAGTAGCACTGACTGGCTTCACATTGGAATTGAAAATCCGGATGCTATTTTTTATGCTGAGTGCTGTTGACCTCCACACAGACTTGAGAGAAATGAAAGCTTGTCTTGCTTTTCCGATTGTTGCTTTGATATCCTCGTCAGTTCCTCCTGTAGTTGAAACGATGCTTCCCAAATAGGTAAAGGAGGTTGTTTCTTTCAGGTTTCTCATATTTATGCTGATTGTTGTCTGCTGTTGGTGTTGACCAGGAATCTTCATCACCTCTGTTTTATCTATGTTCACCTGAAGTGAAGTCCTATCTTTGATGCTTCTTCTGCCAGTTTGTTGCTTTTCACTTGTATATCTTCCAGTTTGTGGGAAATCAGACATGCATCATCGGTGAAGTCCAGACCCTTCAAGTATTTTGTGTGGGTCCATTTTATTCCTGTTTCATCGCTGCCCGATGTCTGTCGCATTATCAAATCTACTGCAATCAGGAAAATCATTGGCGATAGTAGACAGCCTTGTCTTACTCCCTTCTTTACTTCAAAGGATTCTATAAGTTTCCCGTTGTGGATTACTTGGCATGCAGCATTGTCGTACAACTGTTGGATGAGATGTATAATTGTCGGTGGCACCCCGTAGTAGCGAAGTAGTTGCCAAATCACCTCTCGATCGATGCTGTCGAAGGCCTTTTCAAAGTCGATGAAGTTGAGTGAGGTAGAGAGGTGACTGCCATTCGAAGCTTTGTTCAGTGATGATCCGTAGTGTGGCGATTTGATCAATACATGACTTGTTTCTCCTGAATCCAGGCTGTATACTATGATAAGATATTACTTATACAATGTACATCTAGTAATAATAATAATTCTATTGGTAATAGAAATGGAGAGGTAGAGCAATTTATGATGATAAGAATAATAATGAAAAACAGTATGATTAAACAAATAAATGCTCAGGCAGATGTAGTCGATAAAGGCTAAGAAAAACAAATCTTAGATGAATGAAATATGATAAGATTAAGGGATAATAAGAAATGGATTAAAATTATGAATAAGGGTGGTGGCATCATCGATTGGTTAGGTGTTAATTGCCCGAAGGGGGACAATAGCTGTAGCTGTTCTTTTGAATGCATACTTTAGGCCTAACAGGTTCGAATGTCTATCGCTTCACCTATATGTAGTAGAAGAATACTGGGTCCTCTGGAAATATTCGGTGGGTTCTGTGATAAACCACTTTGAATGCTTCCGTCTTTTTTACTAAATGTGACAAAACAGAGCTTCTGATGGCTTTTGCCTGTCCTTTGCGAAAACTATGGAAGACGTTCAGTAACACGGTGGCTAAGCTGTCTGTCTAGTAGTATGCCCGATATAACTGTCTCCGCAGGAAGGAGCAGTTGAATTGATAAATACACGCATTGGTGTCCCAATCATTCCCCGGCTACATAATGACAAATACAAGTTTGCTGTGTAAAATGTTCTCTGTATACTTCTGACTAGTCTCTGGGACAAAATTTCGCTTAGTAATTTGAAAATTACCAAATAAACATTTAGGAAAAGCAATAAATTAAGCGAAGAAATGTATTTCTTTTCAATTAGTTAATATATGTATATAAATATTCACTGGGGAAGTCCTCACTAAATAAATTGCTACTTTAAAAAAAATTATGATTTCTTCTGCGAGTAATGTCATCATCTCAGGTTTTCCATTCAATTTTTTTCAGATGGTTCTTTAGCGGGTTTTACAATTGGCAGTTGTTTCCCTGTTGTATTTATCCTAATGTTTAATCATTTCACCTTTATGTTTCTTAAAAAAAATTTCAGAACCGAAACGTATTATTCATAGAAGTGAATTTGAAGATGCTGGTCGTAGATCTAACATGCAGAAAAGTGAGTTTATGTTTAACAAGAATTTTTTCTATATATATATATACAATACATTCCTGGAAAAATTATTACTTTTAAAGCTTGCCTTTGAATTTTTGCGAAAATTAAACAGTTTTATGAATAATGAATAGAGTTTGTGCTTTTAAATAAAGCAAGAACAACAGTAGTTTGTACAGAATAATATGGTACCATCATTGTTTATTTCCTTGGCTTCTCATCCGTTGCTTGCTTACAGCCTAAAAAAATTATGAGGTTTAAGTACAGAAAAGTTTTAACATACTTGCAAATTTTACATGTTGTCAGTTGACAGAAAGTTCCACAATTTGTGAATAGTCCTCAGAAAACTGCGCTCATATAGTTTTTACACAGGTAGTTCAAGTTGCAACAAAATAAATGTATGCATACAATGGTAACATGTGCCGAAAAGCTTACTTCTCAAGGGAACAAACTCTTATAGTAGCGCTATTACCAGACATCTCTTCGACACGAGTCATGAGGTGGAAATCGAGAAATCCTTTAAAATTATCAATAGACAAAGGAGCTCCACTCTCTTCAAGTTTGCCGAAGCAATTTCTATCAAACGCTTCAAACCAGATTTATGTGTGCAGAAAGAAGCAGTTATTAATCTTTCCTGGCCTTGGTAACTGGATGTCTTTTTTTCTCTCATCTGACTACGTAATCTTTGTCTTTAACCCTCACCACCTTATATAATCTGTAATTTTGCTTGTCTCTTGTCTCTATGATTTGAGTTGAACTCAGTACATTGTTACCTAACTTATTATTCACTACGCATCTAAGGCACATTTCATCTTTATTACGCAACTCCTTTACCATTATATGCATACATTTATTTTGTCGCAGCTTGAACTGCCTGTATAAAAACTATATGAGCACAGTTTTCTGAGCACTATTCACAAATTGTGGAACTTTCTGTCAACTGACAACATTAAAACAATTAGTCCCTTTGATAAATTTGAACAAGGCATTAAGAAGACAAATTTCGCGAGATGATATCATTTCGTAGTTTCTTTACAACCGCTTTACAACTAACATGGTTAACAATGATAAAATAAAGTTCATGAAATTTACTCAGTTAAATAAAAACAAAAGTACATACTAATGACCAATCATATTAAGATAGGTCATGCAGTCCAGGGTAGGCGAAGATTGAAGTCTATTGATTTTTGTACACACAGTTTAGGCTGTATGTGATTAATCCCCCAAAGTGCTTCCATCACCTTCAATAACCTTGAATTAGAGTTATGTGAAATAATTGTGAAACAGTCATTAATATTTATTTTGTGACCAGACATTAATAAGTGTTTTGCGATGGATGATGCTGGATTTCTATTAAGATTAGTCGCGTTAGGATTTTCGATATGATTTACTAGCCATTTTGGAATATGTTCTTTTCGACGACATTGGAACATTCTGTTAGTTCTACCTATATAGGTGTCACCGCAGCTGCAGGTGAACTTGTAGATACAGTTTGAAGTAGAGTCCACAGAATTTCGTCCTTTAATCGTAGGAACAGGGATCGAAAATGTTCGGCAAGTGAGAAAAAGAGATGCGGCGTAGAATGTGCGTTTGATGGCTGATCGAAGTCTTTGAGTTGTCAACTGCATAATCTGGTCGCCCTTGAATGGTAGATTAATAAAGATGGCTTTCTTTGGTACAGAAGCTGTCTTTTCGAGATGTGGTTTTTCTTTGCTGTGACAAGTGATAAAGCTCTCCGGATAACCATTAGCTAATAAAACTGAATGTATATGTCGAAGCTCATCCATCAGTGTGTCACTCGTGCATATGACTAGGAGAAATGATGGAACGATTCAGCGCTCTATTTTTCGTAAACAAACATGGACTGGACAATATCTTCATTTTACCAGTTTTGTTCCTATCCAGTATAAACGTTCCCTAGTGAAATGTTTGTTCTCAAGGGCCCGAAAAATATGCACGAGTGACACACTGATGGATGAGCTTCGACATATACATTCAGTTTTATTAGCTAATGGTTATCCGGAGAGCTTTATCACTTGTCACAGCAAAGAAAAACCACATCTCGAAAAGACAGCTTCTGTACCAAAGAAAGCCATCTTTATTAATCTACCATTCAAGGGCGACCAGATTATGCAGTTGACAACTCAAAGACTTCGATCAGCCATCAAACGCACATTCTACGCCGCATCTCTTTTTCTCACTTGCCGAACATTTTCGATCCCTGTTCCTACGATTAAAGGACGAAATTCTGTGGACTCTACTTCAAACTGTATCTACAAGTTCACCTGCAGCTGCGGTGACACCTATATAGGTAGAACTAACAGAATGTTCCAATGTCGTCGAAAAGAACATATTCCAAAATGGCTAGTAAATCATATCGAAAATCCTAACGCGACTAATCTTAATAGAAATCCAGCATCATCCATCGCAAAACACTTATTAATGTCTGGTCACAAAATAAATATTAATGACTGTTTCACAATTATTTCACATAACTCTAATTCAAGGTTATTGAAGGTGATGGAAGCACTTTGGGGGATTAATCACATACAGCCTAAACTGTGTGTACAAAAATCAATAGACTTCAATCTTCGCCTACCCTGGACTGCATGACCTATCTTAATATGATTGGTCATTAGTATGTACTTTTGTTTTTATTTAACTGAGTAAATTTCATGAACTTTATTTTATCATTGTTAACCATGTTAGTTGTAAAGCGGTTGTAAAGAAACTACGAAATGATATCATCTCGCGAAATTTGTCTTCTTAATGCCTTGTTCAAACTGACAACATGTAAAATTTGCAAGTATGCTAAAAATTTTCTGTACTTAAACCTCATGATTTTTTAGGCTGTAAGTAAGCAGCGGATGAGAAGCGAAGGAAATAAACAATGATGATACCATATTATTCTGCACAAACCGCTGTTGTTTTAACTTTATTCAAATCCATCAAGGGGAATAAGTGCATGAAGTGTGTGCTTTTAAGTGGATTTAAAGTGATACAGACAGTGTAGACCCCAAATGTGATCTGCGATCATTTATTGCAGATATTAGGGCTAGGGATAGAGTATTAGGTAAGGAGTGAAAGTGAATCGATGAGATGGCTGAGACCCTTGTTACTCGCATCAAGTCATCGCCTTTTGCCTCGAGCAATGTTAGCTGACGACATAGTATTCGGTGTGAAAAGAGTTAAGCCTGATTTTATCCAAACCTGACATGAATCCATGATGTCTGACAGTTGGTTTAAATCATGTAGGTGTGGGTGGGTAGGTGGGTGTATATACTACTTGGTCGGAGTCATCAGGACACTAAGAACCAGTGACTTGAGACTACCGGTGAGATGATTCGAGAATCGACTCGGAATGGCACAGATGCATTCACTTTTGTCATCTTTTTGGTCCATTAAATCCTCATGTGTCTCCATGCTGTTATTCTTTCTCATGTACATTTCTTCTCATTATAATCCTACTTTTGTGTACTGTATGATGAGAGTAGCAACTTAAACTGTTTCACTTCTGTGCATAGTTCCATGTTGAAGACTCGGTCAGTCATGCAGATAAACACAGTAGCTTGCGTTAGATCCTATAGTCCTATAGGTTAAATATGTTCTAATTCAACCGGCTGAAATAAAAGATAAGTTTGTAAATTATCATTTTTAAGTATTAGTTTGCAGGGATTTGATTAGTTACAAGTTTGATCATGAGTTGGGGCACCATTGAAAACCAGGGAATAATGAAAAGTTGTTTTGTCCTCGTTTGGGACTCCTCATCAGTATGCACAGAACTGGTTTGGAACTCAGGAGTCCACTTTGTAGACGGAAAGTCCTGTGTTTAAATCCTGGTGGGCGCGTAGTGATGAAGATTCCCAAAAGTGGACGAGGCAGCTGTCCAGTATTCCCTAATATTCATGGTTTCCCTAAACTGATTTCAGCTCGTGCTCGTGATCAAACTCATAAATTAGTGTTATTTCGTTGACAATATATATATATATATATATATATGTAAATGATTCTTGCTTACTGATGTTCATTAGTATGAAACTTAAAAGCATTTGCAATTTTTATACAGATGCTTCGTTTAGTTTGATTAATTTGAATAAATCAAGGACGAATGTATTTTCAGGATAAAAACGCCTTCTTTTTATTTGATTGCATGGAGGATTTAATCATGAGCTGATACCAGTTAGAGAACCACTGGAAAACCTGGGAGTACTGGACAGCTGTTTCGTCCTAGTTTGGGACTCTTCAGCAGTACGCACCCACCGGGATCCGAACCCAGGACCTTCTGGTTACAAGACGAGCTCTTTTTATTTCACATCGTTTCTTCATCTGCTAACAGCCTTAAAAATGACATAGATTATTATAAATACGAATTAGCATAACATACTTTGGGAATTATTTCAATCCAAAGGGCATTGTAGTTAAAGCTGGAGGGTATTAATACAAGATAATGAATAATCTAATGACCATAATTTATATAAAGATAATATGAAGGAAATTTCGAGAGGTGAGGGAGGAGATGAAAAGAAATGTTAAGTAGATTAGCAGATTGGTTAATGAGTGTTCAACTCAGCGAGTTGATAATCGAAAAAAGCATTATGAGGTGACAAGACGAAGTCATCTAGTTACAATGCTAGCGCTGTCACATAATCAGTCACACTATCTCCCTGTATATAACAATTAGGTTGAATTTGTAAATGCCAGCATGATCTAATTATCACCCAAATTCTTTTTTTGCTGTTTTTTTTATCCCTTTGCGTTCCCAGTGGAGCATAGGGCTTCAAGCTAAACGCTTGAAGTTTCAGTAGCAGTGGTGTTTAGATTTTAGGGGGTGGGGGGTTGCTAGCCTCATGCACAACCTTCCCTCTTTACCAGTCATATTGATAGTTTAGCGGGGTAAAGGAGTGCATTGGTGTCCGGGGATCGAACCCTGAACCACTTGGGTTGTTAGCGAGCATTCTGATGCTGTGCCACCGATGTACACTTTTCGTGTTTAGTTGATGATAACTAGCTGTGAAAACTGAGATGTGCATTTCGTCCTATTCGGAACTCGTTTGTTTGATGTGCTTTCATTCCTCAGTGAGTGAATGGTGTATGCATTCTGGATTCCACTGCTAGTCACCCATCGTCCATCAAATTATTATTATTATTTCCTTTAATTCATAGAGGAACATAGGGCTTCAGTCACACGTCTCCATTGCGTTCAGTTGTCTGCTAGAGTTTTCACCTGGCTCCACGTCTGCCTACATGCTTTTATATCCTCTTCACATGACCTCCTCCAAGTCACCCTTGCATTGACGACCAACTCGCCGCTTCCCTTTCAGGTTCCACTCGAGCAATGGCTTGTCTAGTGATGTCACTTGATGGTTTGTTTCCTCAGAGTATGGTGGTCAATCCACCTCCATTTCTTCCTGGTTATTTGTTGCACAATCGGTTCCTGGTTGGTTCGCTCATTGCCAGAGATCCCCATTGCTGATCCTTTCTGGCCGATCATCTGATCTTGAGTGAAGACATATGTTAATGGAGGTTTGTAGTTTGTTTGAGGTGCTCTTTATGACGCGCTGGCCAAGTCTCTGATTCGTATAGTAGCACTGACTGGCTTCACATTGGAATTTAAAATCCGGATGTTATTTTTTATGCTGAGTGCTGTTGACCTCCACACAGACTTGAGAGAAATGATAGCTTGTCTTGCTTTTCCGATTGTTGCTTTGATATCCTCATCAGTTCCGTCTGCCTGTAACGTTGAAACGATGCTTCCCAGGTGGGTAAATCACTTCAAGTTAATAATCCTGAGGGCATCATCGAAGCGTCTTCCATACTAGGAGTAGTCGACAGGTTAACAACAGAGGCTGAACATTTCAGCGCCATCAGTCAACAGGAAAAACAAATCATAATTTTTTTCTGATGTTTTTATAAGTAATTTTCCTCATTATTCTCTTATACCTCTTGCCTTGTTTTTATTCTCGTTGTTCTTTTGAAAAGAAGAACTAGACAATGAACATGAACACTCATCAACTATTGCTAATCTTCAAATAACAACAACTGATTCCTCTTCACAAAGTATTATCACGGCGGTGAAACAAAGTCAATCAGAAGGGCATACATCAGCACTATTGTTAGCTTTTAGTCTTGGCTTAGTGTGTTGTTTTATAGGCTTATTGATTGTTGAATGGAGACGTCGTCAAAAACTACGCTTATGGTCAGCAAAACCGTATCGTTCACATCTTCAACCACCTCCAGAACAGTCAATTATATTTGGTGGTACTACTACTGCCGGTGGAGGTCGAACAAAAATTTCTATGTCTAAATTGAAGTCATATCGTAAGTCGAAAAGGAGTTGTCTAGCAAATGAAAAGATGAATAAGACTTCCTCTAATCATTGCAACAGTAGCAATAATAACGATAATAATATGGATGAGGAGAAAGCTTTATTCGATGATTTAGTTTTGTGAATTTCATTCACCATTCATTAGTAGAAATTCACTTTCTTTCATTAAAGAATAATGACATGCATTTATGTCTGTAATTTTTATTTCTTGATTTCTTCTTCGTCATGTTTTTTTTCGTTTTGTTTATTTTTTTTCTCATTCTTCCAAACATCATCATTCCACATCATCGCACACCACATCATACACAATGTCTTTTGACTTTTATCATTGCTTTTGTTTTGTTTTTTGCTTGTTTATGTTCAAGTATTTTTATTTATTTTATATTTATTTGTGTATTTGTTTGTTTTAATTGTCAGTCGAATAGTGTTAAATCAGTCAGTCAACTTGAGTTTTTACCTTATTGTTTTTGGCATTTTCTTCATTTTGGCATTTATTCATAATATTTGTTTTTTTTATAACATCAATCGTCACAACATTTATTTCCTCGTACACATACATCTCCTCCTCCTATACATACACATTCCAATCATGAATGAATGAATGAACAGGCAAACACCTTTGTGATTGATTTTCAATTTTAATTAATTAATTTAAAGTATGATAATCTTTTGTTTTCAAAGGTTTTGAGGTTGTTTTTTCTTGTTAAATTAATTTCGATGAAGATTTCATTATGAGAATTATTGAAAACAGATGTTTCGCCCTAGTTTGAGACTCTTCAGTAGTATGGTGATGAGAATACCCATGACCTCAGCGGAAGTCAAACTGAAGAACTTCATATTACGAGGCGAGCGCGTTTATCATTGCCATTGAGTCACTTAGTTTAGTATTTGATGAACCCTATGATTTCTAACTTCTGTCATTTCGTAGTATAGTGATACTGTTATTATTGCTGTTAAAACATGAACTTGGTACATTACAGGCGCGCTAAGGAAAGCGCAATACATAAAATCTTTTAGTCTGTGCGAGGGATGGAATATGGTGCGGGTGGTTGTGTTGAAGGGTTAGCCCAAAGCCTTTGACTTGAAGTCTGATTCAGGAGGCAGGTGACAAAGACAGGTTCATACGCTGTTCTGTCACTTTCATTGTTGTTTTCTATTGCGTTAAGGCAGTGGGCAGGAATTTTAGCACAGTGGTCACAAAAGAGTATTTCGGTGTGAAGAGCAGGACATATTCATCCTAGAACCTACTACGTCAGGTGGTCATTTTGATGAACAGTCTTAGATGGTTACCATATATCATCACTTGTTGCGACTGATTTTAGTTGCTTAACTTCTGACTGGCAGTTATAATGTCAATGGTTCGAATCCTTTAAAGTTTCAGAGGTCCCTTAAATGTCAATAATCTTCCGCTTAAGAAGCACTTACAACAGCTGACTACACCGCTAATTCAATTAAATCTAGATTTGAAACAAAAGTTCTTGTGTGATGATGATCGGACACTTTTGTATCGCTCGTGCATACTCGAGGGCTAAAGTGTCAGGTAGTAGAGTTAGTAAGGTGTTTCGACTGCCGACCAAAGACATTTGGTTAGAATCCTTTTCAACTGCAGTCATAATCTCCATTTTAATAACATCAAATTGTCAGACTAAGGCTGTTTCGTAGAATGTTATGATGGGCAGACAAATGTATCACTGATCTATGTATAAAAAAAACTTCTGTTTTTTTCCTTCACGTTCCCAGTGGAACATAGGGCCTCAGGCTAAAGGCTTGAAGTTTCTATAGCAGTGTTTATTTTTACAGGATGGGGTCGCTAGCCTCATGCCCAACCTTTCCTCTTTACCAGCATTGTTTCTGGCTTAGCGAGGTAAAGGAGTGCGTCTGTGGCCGGAAATCGAACCCCGGACCATGTGCACGGTCGGCGATCGTCCTAACCGCTATGCCACCGACGCACACTTCTCTGTTAGACTATAGAAAATAGCCATAATTTCCGATTACAAGAGAAATAAATCATTGTTTTCATTACTTTGTTCTGTAACATGTTGAGGTGTCGTCGGTAAACGACAACATTTTCATAATTTTTAACCTATCCTATATTAAGTACCAACCAGTCCATTCAGTTTTCTCAGCAAAATTACCAAATTAATGACATTAAAATTTGAAATATGTATATTTACACCTTAGTGACATCTTTTGAAGACAGAAAGTACTCGTTAACAGATGGTTTAAGCTATTCTCGGGAAGCGCTGAGACCTAAGTTTCCTCCATGGTAGCGAAGGATATCTACATTTCATGTGATATCGCTTCTGTGATCAATTTAAAATGCTATATAATTAATATGCACACAAATTGTTATCGAATTGGTGAATAGTTGCATTAGTTAGCCAAAACTGACTACAAAATATGCCTTAGCATTTGATAAATTTTCCCTACAATATTTTCTGAAAGAAGCAGGCTGTATGCGATATCAGTTTACAGAAGGAGCGCTTATAATCTTCAAGTGTTGGTTTGCAGAGATTCGATTAGTCACGGGTTTGACCACTAGCTGACATCAGTTAGAGAATCATTGGAAAACCGCAGAACGCTGGAAACCTGTTTCGTCCTAGTCCCAGACTCTTCAGTTGTGTTTACCCATAGAGGTTTGAACCCAGGACCTTGCAGTTATAAGGCGATCTAGTAGACCATTCGGCCACTAATCCTGTCAATTTACGATATACAGCACAGCCGACAATGTCACCAGCGAGTAACTGTCCTCTTGCCTGATTTGGTGCAGCCCGCTGGTCACGACTTCGCACCAGGAATTATTGTGAGCAACAAGACCACTGATTGCTTTTGTTGAAGCAATAAAACTATACCGAAGCAAACCTGTGGAGAAATTATGATGAAAACAAAGTAATCTTTAACCAGATGCTAAGTCGTCTTATTCTGCTCTGAAAACGCTTCTTAATTTCTAGCGCAATATACGTAACGTCAGGTGACAAGAGGGGACCCGGGGACACAGTGTTTTGACTTACTTCCCTTTATCGTATACATGTAGAACAGACACGACGCTAAACTCTGGTGTATGCTTACACACCACTAAATACGTCATATAGTAGCTAGCAGCAGAGCAATGAAAAGCAGAACTCGCGTTTTATCCTATTTTGCAATAATCACACGTTTCTCATATCCTTTGATTAATTACAGTCGATGATTATAATTTATTACTAGAGTAGATGCCTTAGGAAAAAAATAAGCCAAAGTAAGAATTACAATTTTACGCACGACCATACCACCATTACATTTCGCAGAATCTTCCCCTCCTTTTATATGTGAAAATATCCCAGTTTGCACACGGAGAAACAACAACTGTGTAGACATACAGTTATTTATTTAAAGTATACAAATATGTATTAGTTAACGTTTAGTTATAAAATTCTTTTAAAAAATAATTGGAATACCAATCGATAGGATGACAAACTCTCATCTGAGACAAAATAATAATAATAATGAACAGAGTTATTTAATTCGATACAGAATACGCCTTTGCATTCGATATTGTACTTCACCACGACGTATCATAAAATGAAGAACTTTAGTAACAGCACGTTCTGGAAAGCCCTGTAATTGCAACAAGAAAAATTGTTCAAATACTCATGCGCAATAAAAGAATGATAATCGCGATTTACGCAGTTCGATGTGAAACATCACCACAATTCGCTTTGCTTCATAGCATAAACAGCAGTCAAAAAACCCAAACGGATCCCTTATTGCAATGTGAATAATTTCGTTTTCTAAAGGCAACTGTGGTGAAAATTCACTTCGAGCTGTGTAATTTGCAGACCGCGAATTCGATTCAACCAAGTGGCTGGCTAGAATTACGGTGGTTTCAACTAAGTCCGCTGTCTGCATTGAGTTGAAATCCTGGTAAACCTCAGCCTCAAACGAGCGACACAGTCGGCCGTTGTTTAGGTCACTTCCACCTGGTTAGGAAGCAAGCACTACTGGTTGGTGTGAGTAATGTCCAATTACTCTTGTATCTATCAATCAATAGTGTATGGTATTATGCAGTTAACTGAACGTAATGACTTAGGAATCGACTTGTTACCAGGGAATAGTCTTATGGACTTAGAATATGCAGATCACATAGTCCTGTTAGGGGAGGATGCTGACAAAATGCAGTCTTCTGAACACCTTGAGCAGCAATCTTCGTATGTTTGGCATGCGATTCGCCCCTACAAAATGTAAGATGCTGCTACAGGACTGGACCACGTCAACTCCTAACTTAGCGATAGGGATTGAAGTGATAGAACATGTTGACCACTTCACCTATTTGGGAAGTTGTATTAGCACCAACGGACTGATTGACGATGAAATCTCAGCACGGATCCGAAAAGCTCGAGCTGCTTTCGCTGACTTACACCATCTCTGGCGTAGGCGTGACATCCGGCTATCAACCAAGGGACGTGTGTACTGCTCAGCAGTTCGCTCCATCCTTCTCTATGGCTCTGAAACATGGCCAATACGAGTTGAAGACATGAAAAGGTTGACTGCTTTCGATCATAGATGTCTGCGATCTCTTTCTCATATTAGGTGGTTTAATAAGGTAAGTAATGTTGACGTTAGGCGTAGAGTGTTGGGCAAAGAGGGAAAATCAACCGACGAGGCTATAAAGTTACTAGATTGAGATGGCTAGGTCACGTGCTGCGCATGCCTAACCATCGCCTCCCCCGACGGGCATTGCTAGCTGATATAGGTGCAGGTTGGAAAAGAGTAAGTGGTGGCCAAACAAAAACATGGCCTCATCAATCCATGAAATCCTTGACAGTTAAACTGAGTCAGGTAGGGAGGGAGATGCAGACTTCCGGGTTGAGGCCCTCGGGACTGACTCTAGGAATCAATGGCTGGAGACAATAGGTGACATGGCTCAAAATCGTTGTCAATGGCCAGCGCAGATGTATTCAGTCTCTGTAATCTTTCATATTCCTTTCTACCACTACCCATTCTATTTCACTCTTATACTTGTCAGACTGTATTGATTCTCTTCACTCATCTTCTTGTCTACCTCTGTGTGCTATTTGGAAGGTGGCAACTCGAACTGCTGCACTTCGGTGGCAAGTTCTATGTTGAATCCAGACAGACAGGTATTATGCAGGGAGTGTACAAGGTGTAGTAAATGAACGGAATAGTAAACCGAAATTATTTTCTAACCTCAGTGGAATCCAGGATGCGCATTTCACCCTACTATTTGGAACTCATCATCTCAATGTGCCTGCACTCCTATTTAGCGACGGTGTTCCCCCCACTGGGACTGGAACCTTGCAACCATCGTTTGAAACGCCAAAGCCAAGTAAGATGAGATATGCATTCAGGATTCCACTGTCAATTCAACATCAACCAAAATAACTTTACATTGGTCATAGGACAGTCAAAGCGTGGCTGTATTAAGAAACAACATGTCGACATGGATCCAGTGTTTCGGTCCAGCACAATCAATCAACAGGAAATGTAAATCAACCTAAAAACAAATATGTTTGATGTTTAAGTTTTATTATCATAGCGCAAAAAAAGGAGTAGAGCAAAACTGGAAATTAGCAGAAACAAAGTCATTTTATCAATAGAATTCTCTGTTTTTACTTATCGATTAGACTGGTCGGTCTTATCAGAGGTAATAAGAGTCAATAAGTTTTCATGCATACTTCCTAACTCCTTCACATAAAAAGCATTGTATCTAAACCATCCAAAGCATAATTTATAAAGCTGGGATAGTATCCCATTCTTCAAATCACAGTAGATAGGTAAGGGTATAAACTAGTAACTGACCAGTTCAGAGTTCAATTTGAAGAGACTTTAACGTTTATAATGTGTTTTCATTAACAATTTTCCAATAGTTTTCTGCCTTCATTGAAAAACTATACTGATTATTGATGGAGATAAAATGGTCGGATTTGAATATCTTGTAGTATCATACAGCACATTGGTACTATTGTATTTTGAAAAATACTTACTGCTGTGTTAATTTTTATTTTTTTATTATTCTGTTCCTGTAAGTTCCCAGTAGAACATAGGGCTTCCAGCTAGAACTTTGAAGTTTCGGTAGCAGTAGCATTTATTTTTACGGGATGGGGTTGCTACCCTCCTCACGCCCAACCTTCCGCTCTTTACCAGTCTTATTACTGCCTTAGCGAGGTAAAGGAGTGCGTCGGTGGCCGGGGATCGAACCCCACACCACCTGGGTGGTTGGCGAGCATAGTACTGCTGTGCCGCCGACGTGCTATGCTAATTACTTTATATGAATGATCATTTACAGTGTATCTGTAAAACTATAACTACAGAAACTGGATGAATAGTTGTTTACGGATAGGAAGGTCTTGAAAACTCAAGACTAATATTAAGCACATGGGTATGTATGTATCAGTGAAGAGTGGTCACATTGTCATAGAAGTCACCTTAGGAAGATCATTCACATTTCAGAACATTTAATAAAAAACCATAATATTTAAGAAAATCCGTATAACCTCTATACAGCAGAGGGAATCAAAAAATATATTGAAAATACATACTTGTCGTGTAAAATCTTGTACAATAGCATATTCTGACACTTGACTTCCGATAACAAATCGTTTCTTCAGCTGTTTCTCTACACGTAGAATAAGATCATGCTCTTCTTGTGTTGTAAATCCTTCAGCACCTTCTAGACTTCCAGTCATAGCAGCTTCTAATGTCGATACATGAAATAGTCGTAAGGCTTCTTCAACATCAGATTCTGTAGCAAAAGCAGCTAGACGCATTTTAGCCAATGATTCAGAAATTCGTATGATTGCTTCAAGTTGTCTATGGAGGAAGAGAACAATTAACACGGTATGAAATAAGTCATTTTTAAATGGTAGATTTGCATACACACAAAAAAATGAACAAATGTTTTCTTGATTGCATGGAGGATTTCATCATGAGCTGACATCAGTTTGAGAACCACTGGAAAGCCTGGGAGTACTGGACAGCTGTTTCATCCTAGTTCGGGACTTTTCATCAGTACGCACCCACCGAGGTTCGTACTCAGGACCTTCTGGTTACAAGGCGAGCTCGGAGACCATTGAGCTACTGGGACCCGATCCAATGGTCCTTGAATTCTAACTTCTGCCAGTGGTTCTCTAACTGATGTCAGCTCATGATGAAATCCTCCGTGTAATCAAACAAAATCCTTACAAATCCAATGCTTGAAAACGTTTTCTTTGAATCACAAGTGGAACACATAAGGCTTTAAGTTTGAGGTTTGAACTTTCAGTAGCAATGGTTTGTAACGCGTCTCAACCCCAACCTTCCGTCTTTACGGGGCTTTATACCTGCCAAACAAGGTCTAAGGAGTGCATATCGGTTAGCAATCGAACCCCCCAACTACATACGTGGTCGGTGAGCACTCTACCGCTGTTGAACCAACATATATAACATGAATAAGGCATAAGATAGTCACTTTGCTACGATAACAACTTACCTTACTGTTATAGGAATAGCACATCGTTTACCAGTCTCCTGTTCATATCGTGTAGAACCAGATCTCATGAGAACATATTGATTTGATAATTTTTCTGCAGCTTTTTCAGATAAACGAGGTCCACAACGTTCACGTGCATAAGCAATAAATCGTCGAAGAGTACTAAGTGGAATTTCATCTGAATCTGCATTATCCGTTAGATTTGTCCCAACTGGATCACTATATGAATTGAAAAGAATGTTTTTTATTAAGCGATTATTAATCAATAAAAATGTCATTTTAATTTTGATAAAACTTGTTACTTTAGAAGGCAGAAAAAAGGCAGTGAGTGAAGAATATTCTTTTTTGATAATTTCCTCGCTTAACTTTACAGCTTTATATACACATAATGTTTGAAGAATAATAATTATTAACAACATTAACGCTTTTCTAAAATAATATCGAGTTGTTAAGATGGACAGAATTGCAGTTCAAGAGCATGGGTGTGATAATCTGCATATACATGTAAGAGACTCAAGGGATTATTGAAGTTGGAAAATTTTTGCGACAATTAGAGATAGTTCAAACAGTGATGAACAAGGATAAAACTTGGGCACAGTGATAGAGTAGACTTCCAGGTTGGGGTCCTCGGGACGGTAAACACCAATGAAGACTGGAGACAATTGGTGACATGAGTCAAAATCATTCTCAATGGCTGGCACAGATGCATTCATTCTTTGTGACTTATAATATCCAATAAAACTATATGGTTCTTTAATACTACTATTCTTTTTGCCTCATATCTCTGCTTACTGTCTCTATTTTGCGTTTCTTTTTACTTTCTTCTTCTTCTTCTTCTCTGGCTTTGTATGCTGAGTGAAGTGTGGTGACTTGAACTGATGCACATCGGTGCAAAGTTCCACGTTGAAACCAGTCAGTCAATCAGTGGTAGAGTATAATTCCATTATGGATAAATTTTTTATTTTGATAAAATCACAGTTTTATACAGTAATATTTACTGATGACCATGTATCGAGCCCAATTTATTACTGCTCATAATCATATCAAGGTACTCACATAACTTTCTTGTTTTGTTTATATACATGAGTAAAAATTGACTAGACATTTGTATAAAATCGATTTAAGATAAAGTACATTCGGAAATAATAATAGTGTTGTCAATAAAATACAATCAGATGGGAAATAAGATGTTTTTATAGTAAAATAAATAACTTATTAGTATGTTATAATGTTGACTGAAATACTTTCTAACATTATTTATTATCCTCTGATCTGGCTGGTAATGATGTCTTCCATATCTCTGGTATTTGCGTTGAGTCACTTCTACTGCATCTGTTGGGTGAAGGACTCGATGATAGCACTAATATTGTTTCCGAATGTACTTCTTCTTCCATTCTGTTTCACGCATGCCTTGTATTGATTTTATTCAAATGTCTAATCAATTTCCACTCATGTACATAAACGAAGCAAGAGAGTTGTGTGAGGAGTACCTTGATATGATTACAAGTAATAAATTGTACTCAAAACATGTTATCAGTAAACACTGCGTGACTACTTTATCAAAATAAAATTTTATCTATAGTGGAATAATGAACAATGTAAGAAAGCGTCTGAACTAGCTTTCTTTTGAACACACATAATTTAGTTATCTTCAGGTGGATTCCAACAGCTACAACTATACATAAAAGCCGAACTCGTAAGACGAAATTACGATTCATCAGAATACGGCAGGTAACTTTAAATGCATTGTGAAACATGGACTTTATGCTAAATATCTACAGGATGAGCTAAAATCGAGCTACGAATAAACCTTGTTTGTTCCTTGTTTAACCACACAGGATGATGTTCAGAAATCCGATGATAGAAAGAAGTAATTACATATGTGTATGCATGGATATATGCAACATAGGCGTCCATCTGCTTGTTACCATGATGTCTAAACTAGGAGTTGTAATGGACAACTTTTGACATCAGATAATTCCAGATGGCTTGAATAATTTTGTTTAATATGGCAGAATAAACTATTGAAAATTTAATTTAATTTTAGATTTTCCCGTCCACTGATTGGACCGAAGTGCTCGATCTCAAGTCGACATGTCTGTCGGCTTCTTGTGCAGATGCTTCGACGATGTCTGGGCATTTAGTTAATATTTAATTGGTAGATGGTGACTAGCAGTGGAATCCAGGATGCGCATTTCGTCCTATTTGTGACTCATCATCTGCAGGTACCTGCATTTCTCAGTAAGTGATGATGTTCCCACCGAGACTCGAACCCGGTGCCCATAGTTTCAAACGCCAAAGCGTTATCCACTAGACTATACTTGGGCCACGAGAGCCACCTGTTGTGCAAAGGGTTATATTAATTTATTTGAATTTTAGATTTTCCCATCGATAGATTGGACCAAAGTGCTCGGTCTCAGGTTGGAATCCAGATGACGAGTCCCAAATAGGGCGAAATGCGCATCCTGGATTCCACTGCTAGTCACCATCTACCAATTAAATATAAACTATTGAAAATTTAAAATGTCATGCTCAAAAAGTTCATGACTTTACTTCAACTCACTATGTCACTTACTAAAACTCTGGACACATTAATTTATATTCAGAGATGCAGATATCAAGCAAATTGATGTTATCCAGCTTATGCTTAATCAGAGAAACGCCGACGAATTGAAACCAGAAGTCTACAATCTTTACCTTTGTTAAGGATATATTCGTGATAAAAAAAGGAGTTTTTGAAATTGCCAATGTTTATTTAATAACTGTAACTTGGTAATCAATTTCACTCTCCACACTTTGAGATTAATTACCTTTATAAAGTTTACACGTTATGTCTAGCTGATAGAAGTCTGTCTATGCAAACATATACAGTTTGATGTCCATGAGTCACAAATAGAGTACAATTGCTCTTCCATAATCAAATCGGATGATCAACAGTTCAAATGTATTCTGGCAACAATTCTGACTATGATCTAACTTCAGTTAGAGAACCATTGGAAAACGAGGAAGTATTGGACAACTGTTTCGTCCTTCCTCTTTGGGATGCTTCATCAGTACGCACCTTTGACCCCACCATGGATCGAACCCAGGACCCTGAAGGTTACAAGGCGAGTGTTTGTTAACCATTTCAGTTACTGTGATGGAATCTAATGGTCTATCGATTATAACCCTCATCAATTTGCGATAGCATTAACAGCTTTGCATTATTAGATAAAATTAAGAAAAATTATATTTCCCAAGTATGCAATGAGTCCTAATTTGATGTTAAGTGGTTGGAAACAATCGGCAGGAAGCTCTGGTCCTAAGATTAATGCTTGATGGCACTCGTCAGTAAAGTGTACCCTTCAACTTTGAAGGAAATGACAAGCGAGTAAAAAGTGTTACTGTTGCTACTTAACAACTAAATATACAGAAATGTTTTACTCAAACATATATACACAACTAGTATGAACTTACTTTCCGTGTAAATGAACTTGCATAACATGCTTTGCTAGAGTGGTATCACGTTGGACATCATGTTCATCGCGTATAATAAAAATCATATCGAAACGTGATAAAATTGTTGGCATAAAATCAATATTATCTTCACCCTTTGTATTATCCCAACGACCATAAACACTATTAGCAGCAGCTAATACAGAACAACGACTATTTAGTGTTGTTGTAATTCCAGCCTAAAGAAAGATATCAAAAAGAAAATTAGTGAAATATTTGTTAGTTGTCTTCTCTAATTTTTACAGATTCAAACGTATTTGTAATGCATATCACCGTATATTAACTGAGTGAAGGGAGTGTATGGGCGGTTGTTACTTCCCGGTTGTGTTATGGCAGAGCCCAGGAAACATCTGCTTGAGACCAGTCAAAGATGGCTTGTTTGAAGTGGTTTTTGAAGGTGTGTCTGTATTACCTTTTTACTACCACAAGGTAAGTCGAGGTGCACAATTATCGGGGTCAGTCTTTTCTACCCCACCCCATTCTCCAGGGTTAAGAGGCAATATATCTAGCTTGGCTGTCATCTGAGAGGAACACCTTATTACAGTCATATACGACTTTGTTAACAGACTTCCAACTTAGTATGGCCAACTTATACTATTATGGTAACGGCTTTTCGTTTAACTGCTATTTAAATGACTTTACAGGTATGTTAAGGACCTGCGGGGACATTCGTTCCAGTCAGTGTACCTCGTTTAGTCACTGTGATATGCAGGCTCAATCGCCACATCAAGGTAACGGCTATCGGTCGGAATCTCAGCATATTACCTTTCAGATAGCATTGTTCCTAATTTGTATGTCATATTTAGATATGCTTCTACTGAAATGTGGCCATTACAACATATCTCGTAGACGACTACAACAGAAAAATCCATTTCTACTTACTGGTTGGTGTATTTACTAATGTAATATTTTTTTCTCGAATATATATTTAATTAGGTATATTAGTAGTTATCAGACATTCAATCTGAAAATGGTAATTTGACATTATGCTAAGTAAAGTAATTTTAGTATGTTTTTAACGATTTAGCAGTACGACACTAATTGTCATCCTAGGCAAAATCATGTCAGCTTTAGGAGGAAAAAAACAGCTGAATAGTGAAACAAAATGTGATTTTAGCAATTCGTTCTTTAAGATAAAAATTTATCGGCATGTTTCGAGGTAACAATGACAAAAGATGAGGAACCCAAATC